CCGACCCAGATTGGAACCCGGAACATTATCCTGGGACATATATATTCGCCTTCATTCTAAAAAAGAGGTACTGCTTCATACAAGATAGAGATAAACAGAACAAGTTGCTTCTGCAAGCTGTAATGATGATACCAGTTTAACTTGTTTTGAAAAGTGGATTAGATCAGTAAATGAAATGTACTTGCCCATAGTGCAGCTGGCAAAATGCAGCTATCACATGAACCAACTTCTTTCACCTACTGATAACAGCCATCTTTGAACAGTTACATTTCCTACCAGTGAAGGTTCTAAAAGGATTTAAGCGGCATAAAGGCTGTGTTACAGCAATCCAACTTGGACACCACTAGCGCATGAATAACTGACTTGTCCAGGGAGAGCTGCAGCTGGCAAAACAAAACAAAACTCCTTAAAACATTGCTGCCTAAGCTTTCTCAGCTAGTGATATATCCAGGAGACCTCCCAAGCTGTGTTTTTATTTAGCTTAATAATGCATGATTATTTTGGGAGTTGTGACTTCCATTCAGTACCTCATATGACTTGGTCTAACATGGCCTCTTGGAGTTAGGACTGTTTGCAGATCCTCACTTAATATAGGCCAATAGGCCAATTCCCCTGCCCACCTGGGCTGTAAGTGTGACTGAGTGAATAAGAGAGAGTGATTGTCGTTTTTTGGAATACTTGTTTTTAAAAATTATATACATATTGAGCTGCAAAACAAAACTTAAGCTTCTTTATAGCTAAGAATGCATCTGAGGCATAATAGGCCTCATAATTTTATTTTTAGAATTTAAAAATGATGGTTTTCCTCCCTTTCTGGAAGAAGGACAGTAGTAAATGGGGGATTCTGTTAAAGAGGGACTTCAATAGGCATCAAGAAGGATCATAATTAGGGATTATATCCTCTATGTCAGCCATTTTGTGAATGGATGAGCCCCATCCCAGTAGCCATCTTCCATGGGATGTCCTCAACATTCCAGACAGAGGTGACCCCACCCAAAGCCTGGGGTCGCATAAACAATACTTGTTCAGCATGAAGGCATCATGAATTGTAACCAAATGTGTCGTCTGTTTAAAACGCATCTATAAGGACCGTATCTCAATTGCAGAGTGTTTTAACTTTGTACAGCACAGCCCTAGGTATAAGCCGTCAGATTTCTAAAATAGAGGAGCAGGTAGCAGAGTGATAGGGAAAGATTGCTCCTGCTACTAACCAAAACAGAAGTTAATTTTGGGGTATCATTGTAAGAATGTTTTGCCCTTGAGACTTCCATCAGTTGGCCTCCTCTAGTTTTACTCTTTAAGAAATCCTTGTGAGAAGTTTTTTAGGTCTACACTTGTTAGAAATTGGGTAAAGTGCATTTGCAGTTGGACAGGGACTCCCTCTGTGCTGAGACCTCTGATCAAAATGGCCTTGGATACCTGCAGCTGCCATTTAGGCTTGGCAAATGCGCCCAGGTGCCTCCTTTGGAGACCACATTGTTGCACACATCCAAGAAGAGTGTGGGTTGTCTTTGAATGTCTAAGACAGTGGCATGCCCATGCCTGCTTGCTTTTTGGCCTTTCCCACTTTTGGCATGCACCCCTTTCCTGAAAGTTAGATACAATTTTGCTTGATTTGAAAACAATCCTATTTTGAGTCTGGTAGCTCTCCCATTCCTACCCACAAATAAGCATTTAAAGAAAAACAAAACCAGATTCCTTTGTTAATGCTAAGAAACCAAGTGAAAGACCCTTGGTTGCTTTTCTATTGTGTTAGCTGTGGTGCTATCAATGCACTGCGAATCATCAAACCTTTCACTGTCGGAGTGGGTGAAAGGTGCTTTTATGCAAATGATTTTGCAGCTATAATATGTGGGTGCATTAATGTATAGACTGCGTTGAGAGATAGAAAATGCTGCAGGCCAGTAAAGTCTTTAGAACTCTCAACGTTGGGCTCATGTAATTTTGTTAATGAAGCTTTCACCAAGCAGTTGGGACCCCTTCTTTGCAGGTGGCTGGCACGAAGCACCTCAGTTTTCTTTTGCAGAAGGTTTCATTAAAGGGGCCCACTGCTAACTGGGCTATTAAAATTTTTCCAGGGGATGGATTTAAGGTGCAAGAAATGTTCTCCTTCATTTCTCCTATTTCCTTTCTTTTGAATTTTCTCCATTTTTTTCTTTTCTTTTCAGCAATCTGTCGTCAGGGTTGCAATCCCAGACATGGTTCTTGTAAAATACCCGGCGAATGCAGGTAAAAGCAAAGACATCTTTTCTTCCTTAAACGATTCAGAATTGTTGTAAAAGTACAAAAAAAGAAACAAGAAAGAAAAAAGAAAAGCAGGAGTTAACATTAGGGCAGTCTTGATGTTTAATTTTGAAGCAAATATTCTCGACCCCAGGGCTCGGGAAAGAAAACAATGTTTTGGGGAGATGCCTTGGAAAAGCCTGTTGCATGTAAACGTAGTTCTTTTGGGTCTGGAGGCAGGAAGTCAAACGGATTGTGAACCTTCAATACTGAATGGCAGCTAAACTCTTGGCCCAGCGTTAGCGTGTAATCCGTTTACTTACTTCTAGTAAGTGTAATTATATGACTGGTTTTAGCTTTCGCCATCTCCTATCCTCCCCCCCTCCTCCTTTCCCTCAACTTTTCCCACCAGTAGGCACAAGTTGAGCATTCTTGAGATGGGATTACTTGCCTCCTCCTTAGGTCCTCTGCTCTTGGGAGCCAGACTTCAGAGTGATGAGAGGTTAATAGCTTGGATGGAATCTTGTCCGTCCGTAGATCTTCTTGATGAGGCAGAGGGCCTGCTGTGGTTCTTTGATGTCTCCTTTCTTTTCTGGCAAGCAGACAAGGTTGGGATGAGAGGTGGGTAGGGAGGACAGCTCGCATGTAGCCAGACTCTGAAAGCCAAGAATTGTGATTGTGTTGCATCCTTGAATTGGGTTGGCATTAAGGTAAGGCTGGCAAGCATTGTTGGGGTAGGAACCTTGGCTTTTTAACGCCTCCTTTCTTTCTGGAGTAATTGCCGCCTGTATTTCAGGCTCAGGAAAAAGTAGCTCCTGAGATTGGCAGGCAGCGGCCCTCCAGAAGCTGGCTGTGTAATCCAGACACATTGTGGGGTTTTGGGGGGTTTCTTCCCTAGACTGACTCCGAGACTCGGTCACGGAAGCCAGAAGCATTTGGGGAGGTCAGGAAAATCTCTAGCCTCAGGGAACCGCTTGAGGTTTGGAGGTTTGCAAGTCTGAATCCGAAGGATAGGTTTATATTCCAAAAAGCGGTGGCAAGCACAGTGAAAGGAGGGTCAACCAGACCTCATCTTTCCCGTTCCACTGGCAAGCATTGTTGACCAATCATCACCAGGCCTGCCCAGTCACATCACACCAAGCCAACACTCTCCTTCCTCTTTTCTTTATCTCAAAGCCAATCAGCTCCCTGCTTTTCTCTCTCCCTGGAAACAGCTCCCACCCTGTTTACGTCCTCTCAGAAAGTCAAGTTTTGGGGGAAGAGGAGTGGACGACTGCCAATAACTTTATAAACACTTTCTTGCCTCTCTGTAGAAAACAGGACTATTACTTATAGCGGTGAGGGGGGAGAAAAACGCCATGTGTCTGGCAGCCTTGATCCGTATCTTCCTGGAGAAAATCCTGAAAAGGGAAAGGCATGTACAGATAGTCCTCGACTTAACAACAGTTCATTTAATGACCATTCAAAGTTAGGACCTTACTGAAAAAAAACGTGACTTATGACCATTTTCCACGCTTACGACCCATTTCAGCATCCTCATGGTTACATGATCAAAAATTTGGTTGCTTAGCAACTGATTCATATTTTATGATGGTTCCAGTGTCCTGGAGTCATGTGAACAACTTTGGCGACCCTCTGACAAGCAAACTCAATGGGGAAGTCAGATTTCCTGAGCAACCGTGTTACTAACTTCATAGCTGCGGTGATTCACTTAACAATGGGGGCAAGGAAAGTCGTACAATAGGGCAGAATTCACTTCACCAATGTTTTGCTTGGCAACAGAAAGTTTACGCTCGGTTGTGCTGGTGCGTCGAGGACTACCTGTCAGTGGGGCTGCCAACTGGTTACCCTGGGAGGGCTCCTGTGCAGTACACAACATCCATTCAGCAGCAGTAGGGGACTCTCCGCTCTCTCAGGGCCCTTGCTCCACATTAGAAGTGGCTTTCACCTTGTGGCTGCCTCAGTATTTGCAAAAGAGAGGAATCTGGCTGGAACAGATAACAAATAATCAGAGTTGGAAGGGACCTTGTAGGTCATCTACTCCAACCCCCCACCGCTCAAGCAGGAGACCCTACACCATTTCTGACAAATGGCAGTCCAATCTCTTCTTGAAAGTCTCAAGTGATGAAGCTCCCGCAACTTCCCAGGGCAAGCTGTTCCATTGGTTGATTGCTCTCACTGTCAGAGTTTCTCCTTATTTCCAGGTTGAATCTCTCCATGTTCAGTTTCCATCCATTATTCCTTGTCTGGCCTTCGGGTGCTTTGGAAAATAGCTTGACCCCTTCCTCCCTGTGGCAGCCCCTCAAATATTGGAAGACCGCTATTATGTCTCCCCTGGTCCTTCTCTTCACTAGACTAGCCAAGCCCAGTTAACGTGGTGACCAAAACTGGATGCAGTACTCTAGGTGTGGTCTTACGAAGGCTTTATAGAGTGGCATTAGTACTTCCCTTGATCTTGATTGTATCCCTCGGTTAATGCAACTTAGGATTGTGTTAGCTAACAGGACGACCCCAGCATCGTTGCTCCCCTGAGAGCCTTCTCATTTGCAGAAATGGAATATGATTATGTTGGGAAGAGAAACGTTAACTATGAATCAGAATCCGAATAGAGCTGGAAGGGGGAACCTTGGAGGTGTTCTAGTCCACCCCCCTGCTCAAGCAGGAGGTCCTATACCATTTCGGACAAGTGACCATCCAGTCTCTTCTTAAAAACCTCCAGTGATGAAGCAGCCACAACAACTGAAGGCAAAAATGGGCTCAAGTGCCCTTCCCCTTTCAGCCATCAGAGCTTTCCTTTGAAACCTCTTCCACCAAAGGGGGGTGGGGGCGGCCTATCCCAGGGCTGCCTGGAATGGAGGGAGCTGGAGGCAGATAGGCCCTACCCCATTGTGGAGACATGGCCGAAAAGCAGGTGTGCCTGATTTTTAAAAAAATCAAGGAGCGAACGGGCCTTTTTTTCCACAAAAATGGGATCCACATCAATCCAAGTGGCCCTAACAGAATGATCCCGAAGAGAAAAGCGGTGAGATTCTTGCTGCCTGACTGTCTCTCCGTGCAGACTTGCCCTCAGTCAGTCAGCCTGTCGTATTTCTTTGCCCTATTTTGGTTGGGCTGGATCCCAAGAGATGCACAAGCCAAAGCAGCAAAAGATTTGTGCTTCTGTCATCCAGCTGAATGTGCCTTAGAGGGTTTGCCTGCATTCCTTGCTAGCCAGAACAACAGGCTTTGTTTTCAGAGTTCAAGCCTTCCTGTGCCTCTCGCCTCCCACTTGCTGCCTAGACATGCATTATTGCCCTTATTTACTTAAGGTGCAACTTTCCCACACTTCTTTTTTTTTAAAATATATATATATATATGTATACTTCCAGCAGCAGAGCTGCCCTTCCTGATACTCCAGCCTCAATTATTTTCTTGGACTCGGGGAAAACCAAACTATACGGTGTGTTTTTTTTCCCACTGAGTTGGGATGAGTCATAGTCTGCTATGTTACAGATGCAGCCGTTTAAAAATAAAACCCCAGCCAAAGCTGCTTTTAAGGCCTAAAAACAAAAAAATGTATAGAAGTTTCTCTCATTCTTATTAGAAGTGATGTGAAGCCAAAGGAAAAAAAGGCAAAAAAAAAAAAAAGACCTGACCAAGATGAAATGGGCCCATTTTGTAAGGCAGACTCTATTTTTGAAGCATAGGATGGTTGGATGTACGTTAATGTGGAAAGGCCTAATAAACTCCTCTGCTAAAATTAGCCTGGCTTTAGTTTGGCTTTTGTTTTTGGAACGGAACTATCAAGATGGGCCTTGCCTAGCATTAAAAATAAAGTTAGATTTTTAGAGGCTGGTTGTTGTTTTTGTTGTTGTTGTTATTATTATTCTGCTCTGTGTTGAAGCAGAGTGTGCTGCAAGAGGCTGTTGACACTTAACTTATAGCGGCCATCACGTTCTCCTTTCCAGCGCTGGCTGCCAGTGAGTGATGAGGGCCCGTAGTCCAAGATTTCAGGCAGCTTTTTGTGAGGGGCAGGAGAGAAGCTGTATAAAGCTTTTGTTCTGTGCAAGGATTGAAATCTGTCTTTTGTCCTTCTGGGCCTTCTTTATTCAAAGGGGAACTTCCATTTCCTCTGCTCTGCTGCTCCCAGAGAAGATCCCACAGTCAGGACTTGAAATACCTGTTGTTTTCAATCTATCAGTGGCATCAAGGCATCTCTCTTTCTCAAAGCTGCTGCTGCTGCTGTAAAAAAAAGACAAAAAAGAAAATAATTAGGGGGAGTGGCTTTCCATTTGAGGGTTTTTTTAAGGAGAATTGAAGCATGATATTAGTGCTAAGTGATTAGCTCCCTGTCATATCCCTGTCATTTTTTTCCCTCATCACAAGGCTATATGGCAGAATATTGCTTTGAAAATGAAATGAAAAGACTTGTTTTGGAAAGTTAGGTCCGGTGGAGTTGAGTAATTGCAGTTGATGGTTTCTCCCCGGATATTGGATACAAAATGCCTTTTTTGTTCACTCAAAATTTCACACTTGCAAATTTTTCATTTTCTACCACAGATAATATATTTTGTTTATTTCTTTATTTTTTTAAAAAAATGGCAGTGCCCTAATGCATAAGGGCGGGAAGCAGGGGAGACTGGGTATTTGGATAATAAAATATTTTCCCCAGATTTTGTTGTTAACATCAACTTGCGTTGTAGTATGTGTTCATTTGCTTTAAACTTACACACACCTTTGAGCCAAAGTTTTAAATAAAATCATCAGAGAACTGGGGTCCCTTTACTGGGCTATGTCTGGGGCAGCTATATCAACCCCACCCCTGTCCCCTTCCTTTCATGTTGTGAATGGAAATATCGATTATCAAATGGAAATATTGCTTTAGAACTTCTGTTCTTACCTGTCCTAAAGTGGCTTCCTTCTCCTCATGTCAGCCTGTGACTCCTAGTAACTGCATAGTGCATACCCCCAAACAGTGGTACATCTATGAGCAGAGTTGTGAGCAAAGGGAAACCTAGTTAGCTAGCTGCTTCATCCTGCTGGGCTGTTTGCCTTTCTGCTGAAATGCCCCTAACCCCTTGTATTCATGAGGGTCTTTGGATAATTGTCGCTCCTCCTGACTCATTCTTTTCTCTTTTCACCCTGATCCGTTTCTCTAATCCATTTGTCAAGGCCCAGAGATTGATCTCTTGTGTCCACCCACCCACTCTCCCTCCTGCGTTTGTGTGAGCTTCACAATAGCATAGAGTCTTGTCTTCAATGGCTCCACACCGAGCCTCCCAGAACAGTTATTCTTTTGTACAAAGGCTGCCTTTAGAGACCTTGGTTAAAACTGTTTGTTTACAAGAAGCCACCAAACAAGTCTCGGAAAGAATGCTGCCTTTAAAAAAAAAAAGGAAAGCAAAATTTGGACTTTCCAGCCGCTGGTCCTTTTATTTCCTTTCGGGATATAATTCCAAGCTCTCTTTCTTCGAAGGTGTCAGTATGGATGGCAAGGCCAGTACTGCGATAAATGCATTCCACACCCGGGCTGTGTCCATGGAACGTGCAACGAACCGTGGCAATGCCTCTGTGAAACCAACTGGGGTGGCCAATTCTGCAATAAAGGTAGGCTGAATCTAGGAGGAGGCTGTGAGGAGGTTTGAAATGCAGATCAATATCATGGAGGTTGGGATGGGTAGGTAGAACGTGGACTTTGGCCCTGCTGGGTTTGCTTCCCTATCCTGCTTATGAGTGTGCAGCCATCTGGTTGCTTTGTCTTGGGGAATATTATGGCAAAGGACACAGAGCATCTGTTTTGAAATACCTTATTCATTCTTTGGCTCCTATTTATCCCTTGCAGATCTCAACTACTGTGGGACTCACCCGCCTTGTTTGAATGGAGGGACCTGTAGCAACACGGGCCCTGACAAATACCAGTGTTCCTGCCCTGAAGGCTATTCAGGACAAAACTGTGAAATTGGTAAGAAATTCTCCAGGAGGTTACTTTGTTTTATTCAAGCACCCTGGCTGCAACCCTAGATATTATCTGGGCAGTGCAAGAGATGGGGAGAGAATGCAAAATTATATTTCAGTGCATAGTAGGGAAACAGTGCTCCTCTAGAATTTTGGACTCCAGCTTTCATCTGGCTTACCCAGCATGGCTAATGGCAAGGATAATGGGACCTGAAGTCCAAAAGAGCTGGAGAGCTACCTTATGGCTTCCAATCTTGAGGAAGTCAACCCCAACCATTATTTTCATGCATTTATTAAAGGTTAATTCCCATTCACAAGAATTTTTTGGTCATGTTATAGACACATGCATGCACCAATTATAATATAAATATAACACTGAAGTATTAATGTAGTACTAGTATGGTGAAATACTAGCATAGTACTGGCACTTGAAGATGTTATCTAGTTGGGTAATGAAATGTCTGCAGTGTGATTACCTGAAATTTCTGGAGAAGGCCGTTGCCTCAAGTGGATCATTTGGAAATGCTCACCAGTCACCATGCAGTTAAAATCATCTGGGTTCAAAAATATGTGGTGTAATGAAAACAACTGGTAGGTTTTTCCAAACCATCTAATCCAGATAACACTCTAGACCAGATTTCTCCAACCTTCCCAGGTTTGCAGACCCGGGGGCGGGTTGGGGGATGATTCTGTCTGAGTGGCAGGCAAGTGCAATGTGCAGCTCCATTTGTGTGAATGCTGGGCATGTGTACCTGCTACTCACACAAATGAAGTGTGCATGCAAGTGTGGATGTGCGTATGTGCTCACCCACCACTTCCGCGGCCCAGTTCCGAACAGCCCCTGATTGGGGGCTGAGGACCCCCTGCCCTAGTCCTTGAGGAATGCACTGGGAGGAAAGTGTGGTCAGGAAGTGTGAAGTGGTTGTTGAAAAATGACCTGATGGTCTCTAGTTTAGCACCCTGCCATTGGTTTCAGGGTAAACCTTGGTAGTGTTCAAAGATGGGCAGAGTATCAGGTCTACTGCAAGATGGAAAGTTGGAGAAGCCCAGAGGAAGCAAGGAATGACTTTTGAGGGTCAGAGGGATGGTGATTCACCTTGGCACCTTTGGCTAATCTGAAGGAGATTCTGTTCTTGTTGCAGCGGAACACGCCTGTCTTTCGGATCCTTGCCACAACGGAGGAAGTTGCCTCGAGACCCCTACTGGATTTGAATGTCTCTGTGCACTTGGCTGGGCAGCACCAACCTGCATGCTTAGTAAGTGAACTAGAATGACAAAGCTTTAACCTCTCTTGCCTCCTTAAGTGTCACAGAAATTTCCAAGGGGTTCTTAACAGTTAACTGCTGTCAGACATCAATGCCGATTGCCAAAACACAGTGCCAGTTTCTCCCTTTTAAAGATTCTCCGTTAAGAATTCCTAAATCCTTAAAGTGTTTATTTGTTACCCGTGTATCTTGCCATGTATTATCTGCGAGTCTGGAAGAAGAAAACCAGAGCATGTTCTTCAGTCTTATATGTGTTACCCTTTCAGTTCCAGTGTCCATGGACAAGTAGAAATTGTACTTCAGGAGAGATTAGAACTGCAGTTAAGGACAGATTAGAACTGAAAAGCAGAGCTGGCCAATACTTTGGTATACAATCCAGAAAAGATGTTTTGGAATATGCAGGAATCCAAATGAAAATAGAATGGCACTGTTTCTTACTTATTATAATTATATTATAAGGAAAATTATTATAATAAAACAATGTTCAGAATGTTCCAGGTTGGTTGAGGAGATATTAAAAACCCTGGGCAGTCCCACTTAGTGTTGAGAACACAAGGCTGGAAGAGTTGAATTGATTTATAATAAGACAGCTCTCTGTGTTTTCCTGGGCCCCATTTGAACTTCTCCCAAGTAGAAATGAATTCATTGGAGTCTCTTTTCAGACTTGGGCTTCTAATCCTGGCACTTAAAAAGCAGGACAGGAGAGAGAGAGTGTGTGTGTGAGAATATCCATGAATGAATATTTTCACTGGCATTCTAGCTGGAGTAGTTGTCTCTGTGTGAAGACAATGTGAAATTGACTAGCACTTTTATTGAAGGCTATTAACGCCAGAAAACCTGACCAATGTGCGTATTCGTGGTGTTGAAATTTCTTCTTATCAAAATTCATAACGAATGTTTAAGGTTGTCTGAAGCACAGAAGAAAGTTGAGCGGGCAGGGAGGGATGAAAAGTGAAGGGCGCAATATAAAAGTTGGATATTTCCTTTGGTATATAGCAAAAGGATGCATGATTGCTAATACATTGCTCAGATGATAATTGCCCTAACCTAAGGCTAAATAAATCTTTTCTTGACAGATATTGATGACTGTTCTCCAAACCCTTGTGGGCATGGAGGAACTTGCCAGGATCTAGTTGATGGATTTAAATGTGTTTGCCCACTACAGTGGACTGGTAAAACTTGTCAAATAGGTACGTGTAATGTTGAGGGATGCTGTGTCTTGAGCTCATCAGAGAAACCTCAAGTCCTTCTTTTCCCTGGGCCAGACTGATTAAAACAGCTTCCCAGATATGATGTACAGCAGTGGTGGGATTCAATTTTTTCTTACCACCGGTTCTGTGGCTTGGTGGGCATGGTAGGGGAAGGATACTGTAAAATCCCCAGTCAGAGGTGGGATTTGCCAATTCTCTGAACTCCTCAAAATTTCCGCTACTGGTTCTCCAGATCTGGTCAGAACCTGCTGAATACCCACCTCTGATGCTCAGTCTGTTGAAATTGTTAAATTGCATAATATATCTTCCATACGTCCCGGTACATTGTGGAAGGAAACGTCAAGAGTATCTGAGCTGCTGTATTATATGAGAAATTCAGATATGGCTAATCTGGGAATCTCTCTGGAGTTGCTTGAATTCAGAGGAGGAGAACGTCCTTACCGTTTGCCCAAGGACACAACTGTACTAACCTGTACAGTTATCTTAGCCCTTCCCATCTCCCTGCATGCTGATTTGCGGGGAGGGGAGTAGCCCCCTTTGTGCAACTCTCGAGATGGCTGGCTTATCTTGGGATCGGCTGGGATACCTAATTGGTGGTTGTGAAGGGCAAATATTCCTTCTCAAGGCAGTGCACTCCCTGTTTTTCCTTCTCTTTTGGCCTTGTGGGAAAGTTGGGGCATCCCACCACAGCCTCATTAACACATTCAACCCTGGAGAATTGGCAGCAGCTGCGTCCCAACCTCTGGCTTGATCCTCGGAAGAAGGAGTCCCCTGCACTTTGAAGGCCATGTTTTAATCCCAAGGCCTGGGGAATACTCTATTCCTTCGCTAATCTCCACCTCACTCGCCTCTTCCTGCCTCCCCGTTCCCTTTTAAAAGGAATTGTTCTTAATCGTGGGGGGCCAAGGCCTCAGTACTACTGATGACATCGTGAGAAATCAGAGTATGCTTTTAGTGATTCAAAAGCAGTGTTTTAAAAGCATCCCTAAGCAGCCTGGAGCCCCTCCTGAAGTTTTGGACTGTACTTCCTCTAGTTTGTGATGAAGGGCTGTGGCTGCTGAGGGTTGTATTCCCAAATGTTTGGAGGGCATCAGGTTGCCTAGCCCTGAAGTTGTTCTCCTCGTGTTTGTGCAATCGTGTAATCTTTCAGAGTCCGCTAGCTTTTAATAAACGTGGAGGGCCTGCTGTGAAAACAAGAGAGGGGGGTGTGCTTTCCTCTTTCACTCTACCCACAGCTGAGTGTTGAGCAATTCGTTTGTCTCTTTTCAGATGCCAATGAATGCGAGAGCAAACCTTGTATCAATGCCAATTCCTGCAGGAACCTGATTGGTAGTTATTACTGCAATTGTATTGCTGGCTGGACTGGCCAGAATTGTGAGACAAGTAAGTTGTGTGTGTGTGTGTGTGTGTGTGTGTGTGTGTGTAGCTGGGGGCGGGGGTGTCAAAGGGCAAAGTGTTGCAATCGAACTTGGATTTACATTTTGTCATAATTCAGCCAGGAGGAAGGTTGGGGGGGCGAGAGAGTCACTGATGTTTTTAGAAAGGGAGTAGTCAATCTGGCAAGAATAAGAATCAATTTTATCAGACCCATTAGTCCACAATATGGCTAGGTTCTGATAAGGTGCCTTGAAACAATGATGTGAAGTTTCAGTTTAACTCTACTGGAAGAATTGCTGAAGGTTCCCACCCATTTACAATAACGTTATCTCGAGGAAAGCAAGCAGGAAACTTCACAGAGTTTATCTAGCTAGAGCTGCAGAGCCCCCTGATTTTTTTTTTCTCACTCTCTCTCTCTCTCTCTCTCTCCAATCTTGGATTTTCGGTTGCTGTGTTGCTTTCCCACTCAGCTTGTGTTTTCCTTCTTTTAATTACAGACATTGATGACTGTGTGGGACAGTGTCAGAACGGAGGGACTTGTAAGGTAAGTAATGTTTGATTTCCCCTGTGAGAATCTGCCAGTTTTCAGCAGAGGATAATGATGAAGAGTGAAGAGGCAGAACAGTCTCTCTTGAATTTGTTAGATTTCTGCTAATCTGGGAATGGGAGGGGTGAAGTCCTCATCATTCTCACTGAAAGAGTCTTTTCTCTCAAAAATACGCCTCTGAGGGTTCCATCTTTCTCCTTCTCCCTTTTACGTTAAGCTCCACAGTGGACAATTGGAGAAAGATCCCAGATAATTAAGTTTAAGTTCTAGTCTACAAGCAAATCCAGGGAACAGATTGGGAGGCTTGATCATTGAATTCACAAAAATCTGAATTCCTTAAGCAACCCTACAACAGCCAGAGTTATTTCACTTGGTTCAGGAGATCGTGGCGCTGGATGTCATATTATTTCCTGCTGTGAAACAAAATCTCCCCTTTGGAAAGGTTGCCAGTCAAATCTAAGCTCAACCATTTTACTCTTTAAATCTCAAGCAATCGAATTTCATAGTCCATCTGCGTTTGATTATTTTATTACCACATTGTTGCATAGAAAAGATCTTTTCTGGTCATTCTAAGAAATGAACGTCAACACTCAATGCTTGTCTAGTTTAGTCTCATTACTGCTAGTGTCAACTCGTTAACCTGCCCACAAAGCACATAACCATGGTTTGCTTATAATCATGGATAGTTTGCACACACCGTAAGCATAATGGGTGGATTTTCCATCAGATGAATCGACTGTGAAATGATCACGTTAAGACTTAGCATCATGCATGAACTAGGCCCTTGCATACGAAGAAAAAATCATTTTACGCTAAATAAAACAGAAAATGAGGTTAATGGTAGCCTTCCCTTGCAGGGACATTCAATTTCATAACACCTTCCAATGTCATTTTTCACAGTTTAGAAAAATACGCTATCAAGTGCTATTAATGCATGTTCAGCAATCTCAATGCGTGAATGCATAATTTGTTGCTACCAGCAGTTGTTGTCTATATTTTAATGTATTCCATCTTTAGCCTATCCTTCATTCAAACTGGCAGACTTCTCCCTCTGCTCTGTTCCTGCTGGCTTCTCATTAATTCTCTCCCCAGCTAGAAAGAGAAGGGCTTCCACGGATGAAACGGGAGTTCAGCCTGACATGGAACAGATTGTTGCTCACCCACAAATTAGGTGGTGAGCACTTTTTTTCCCCCAGGAAAAGAGGCTGGGAGAGAGGCCTGAATTTCCTCCCGCTTTTTTTCTGTCCCTTTTTTTCTCCGCTGGGCTTAGTAACGAGGATCAGGCTGTGGCAAACATTGTGGAACCAAAGCAAGGTTTTATAGTGCCATGAATCCATCCTTAGTGTTGCCCTCCTGTAAATGAGTCTCTCCCTTTAGGCTGTGGTGTCAGACTTGATTTCATTGAGGGCCACATCAGGGTGTTCTGTTTGACTTTAGGGGGCTGGGGTGAACGTGGCCAGCTCGACATCACTAGTGTTGCGGGCGCCTGTAGGCCCGAGCTCCGTTTTCAGTTGCAACGGCCTCTTGCAACCCTCTGCGAATGAAAACCGGCTCCCGAGTTCTGTTTTCGGCTGCAATGGCCTCTTGCAACCCTCTGCCAGTAAAAACGAAGCTCGAGAGAGCCGCCTGTGGCCCTCCTGAGCTCCGTTTTTGCTGGCAGAAGCACTGTGGGCCGCTCCTTTGCTGTTTCCAGGGTGGCCCAACAGGCCGGCTCCGGGTCCCGGGCCTTGAGTTTGACACCCCTCCTCTAGGCTATGAATTTCAGACTGCGTATGCAGGAATGAGCCAGCGTCGCTGCCTCATCGTGTCTGGTTAGCTCTGATGATTCCAAGTCCTTCAGGTTTGACTTAGTTTCTTTCCCATTGCCCTTCAGTGGATTTGCATTGCCCAGGTGTTCCTCGATTTACGGCCATTCATTTTTACAACCTTTTGAAGTTTCAGTGACACGGGAAAAAACGTGTTTTACAACCAGTTCGGCATCCCCATACGGTTACAAGATCAAAATTCGGGTGCTTGGTAATCAGCAGGTGCAGGATAGTCCTCGACTTACAACAGTTTGTTTAGTGACCATTCAAAGTTACCGCAGTACTGAACAAAAGTGACTTACGGCCATTTTCCACGCTTATGGTCATTGTAGCATCCCCATGGTCACGTGATGCTTGGCAATTGATTCACATTTATGACAGGTGCAGTGTCCAGGAGTCATGTGGTCCCTTTTGCGAACTTCTGACAAGCAAAGTCAATGAGGAAATCAGATTCATTTAACAACCGTGTTATTAATATAACAACTGCAGGGATTCGCTTAACAAAGGTGGCAAGAAAAGTCGTAAAATAGAGCAAAACTCACTTAACAAATTTCTCACTTAACAACATCAATTTTGGGCTCAGTTGTGGTCCTAAGTTGAGGGCTACCTGTATTTACGACAGTCGCTGCATCCTGGTGTTGTGATTGCCATTTGCCACCTTCACCACCAGCTTCTGACAGGCAAAGTCAGTGGGGGAAGCCACAACAATAGGATTCACTTAACTGTAGCGATTCAGTTAATCGAGGCAAAAAAAGGTCATAAAATTCGACTTAACCGTCTTATTTAACCGTGGAAACTCTGGTCCCAATTGTCATAATTTGAGGACTCCCTCTTAAGTCACAGTGCTCCCAGCACACATGGTCCAAAGAGAAGGGTTTGTGTAGAGTTTGTGGTTTAATGCCATCCTCGGACATCGAACGGCCTCTCTGTTTTTGTGCTGCTTGCATGTGTGAAATCCTTGTTGAGGAACCAAACTCTGTCAAGGACCTTGGAGTACTCATCTCTAGTGATCTAAGTGCTAGAGCCCACTGTAACTACATAGCCAAAAAGGCATTAAGAGTTGTTAACCTAATCCTACATAGCTTTTTCTCTGGTAATATCACACTACTAACTAGAGCATACAAAACATTTGCTAGACCAATATTTGAATACAGCTCATCAGTCTGGAACCCGCATTACACATCTGATACTAACACAGTTGAAAAAGCCCAGAAATATTTCACAAGAAGAGTTCTCCGCTCCTCTACTCATTGCAGAATACCTTATGCCACCAGACTTGAAACCCTAGACCTAGAAAACCTAGAACCAAGCCGCTATCGGTCCGATCTAAGTATAGTATATAAAATCGTACATTGCAATGTCCAACCTGTTAATGAATACTTCAGTTTCAATCATAACAACACAAGAGCGCACAATAGATACAAACTCAAGGTTAACTGCACCAAACTTGATTGCAAGAAACACAACTTCTGCAACAGAGTGGTCAATGTCTGGAATACTCCACCTGACTCTGGTTTTTTCCCCAAACCCCCAAAACTTCAACCTTGACTGACTACTATTGACCTCACCCCCTTCCTAACAGGCCTGTAGGGGGCGTGCATAAGCACACCAATCATGCCTACCGTCCCTGTCCTATTGTTTCTTTTATTTTTCTTATAAGTATCTTATCTCATGTATTCAATACTATATTTATTCTTATACCTGTATCTTGTATGTAATTGACAAAGCAAATAAATACTAAATGCTTTGTGGTTTATTGGCAAGGTGAGCTAACCTCTATTTTGTTTTGTTTTTGCACCCTTTTTTCTTTCCAGGATTTAGTGAACGGTTATCGCTGTCTCTGTCCACCTGGCTACATCGGGGATCACTGCGAGAGGGACATCAATGAATGCGCAAGCAGCCCTTGTTTGAATGGGGGCCACTGCCAAGATGAAATCAATGGCTTCCAATGTCTCTGCCTGGCTGGCTTCTCGGGAAACATCTGTCAGGTGAGGCAGGTTCCAGATAAGAGCCAATTCGGTGTGCAGTTCCTGGATCTGTAGGCTGAATGCCTGCGTTCAAGCGAGCAGCGTTAAGAGACGTTTTATTTTATTTTATTTTATTTTATTTTATTTTATTTTATTTTATTATTTTATTTTGAAAAACAACATCAAGGGTGAGGTGTGGGAATTCATAACTCAGCTGGTGTTGGTGTGCATTCACGTTGCGAGCTCTGCATGCTGTTGGATAACATTATTTTAGCGAGGCTGGTGAGAGCTGCCTTGTGTCTGGCGTACACAAGCAATAGAGGTGACAGATTAAAAAAAAAAGGGTCAGATTCCACATTTCCTTCCTGTGACCGTGGGAAGAAGATGAATAAAGCCTTTGACTTAGATCCTCTCTTCTGTCCTCCTCTTTCCTCCATCCCTGACAGTTGGACGTAGATTACTGCGAGCCCAACCCTTGCCAGAATGGGGCCCAGTGCTTCAATTACGAGAGCGATTATTTCTGCAGCAACTGTCCGGATGATTACGAGGGCAAGAACTGTTCCCACCTCAAGGATCACTGCCGCTCAACTCCTTGTGAAGGTATGCGTTTTGAACTCCTTGGGAAGCTACGCTTTTTGTGTGTGCTGTGTAGTATAGCATGCGCTCGGGGACGCCCTTCGTGCAGAATGTCCCAAATTCAGCCTCCAACATCACCTGAGCAAGGTGTCTGTCTGATGTTTCTGGTGACTTGGCATAATCAGTGCTGTGTTAGGTTAGCTGGCTTGGGTCCAGGAGGCGGCAATAGCTCCTTCAGACCAGTGAATCCTTCAGGGATTCAATTTTTTTTTTCCTATCAATTCTGTGGACGTGGCAGGGGAAGGATACTGTAAAATCTCCAGTCTGAGGTGGGATTTCCAGTTCTCCAAACTACTCAAAATTTCCGCTACCGGTTCTCCAGAACTGGTCAGAACCTACTGAATACCACCTCTGCTTCAGACCCTGTTTTCTTTAGGTATACAGAGTATTGAGTTAACCCTAACTTTTTAAATACATTAATAGTCATTGATCTCCTGCTATTTCGAGAAGGAAGGCCCAGTAACTTTACCATGCGTTTCTAAGTAACTTTTAAAACTACCAGCTCTGCCCACTTGGAGAAATCCAAATCAAAGCCAACTGATCTAGCTGATCTAGCTGGAAAAAGAATCTGGTCTGATCTAAGGCCTTCCTGGTTATGAGATGCTCTTGCTCCTAAAGAGTTTTGGGGATACTTAGAAAACACAAAGTACTTTAGAATGGTTTTTTACACTTCCAAGGGAATTTTAATAGCAATATTGGGTCACAGGATGTAGGCATACTGCTCTTTGGGACCGAAGGTCACATACCAGGTTCTGGAAAATATTGGGGCTGGGTGGAAGACATGGCAAGAGAGAAGCAGATGTGTACAAAGCAGAAAGTGATGGGGTCCAAAGTGGAAACCGTTGTTCTTCCCAAGTTGGACTGAGTTGCATTTCCTTGTCCACCCTCTGCTTCCTTATCAAGCTTTTAAAAGAGGAATGTCCAACCTTGGCAACTTTTAAGGCTTGTGGTTTTCAACTCCCAGAATTCTCCAGCCAGCCATGCCTGGGAGTTGAAGTCCACAAGTCTTAAAAAGTTGCCGAGGTTTGGGAAACCCCTACTTTAGAGCCTAGTTTAATTTGAATTTACTTTCCCCACGTCAGCAGCAACCGCGGAAACTCCATAAAGTTACTGGTAAGACAGTGAAGGTTCATTTTTGCTTGCTTGTCTCTCTTCCGCAGTGATTGACAGCTGCACTGTTGCTGTCGCTTCCAACAGCACCCCAGAAGGAGTTCGCTATATCTCTTCCAATGTTTGTGGGCCCCACGGCAAGTGCAAGAGCCAAGCAGGCGGCAAGTTTACTTGTGAATGCAACAAAGGCTTCACTGGCACCTATTGTCATGAAAGTAAGATTTGGAGATGCTTATCTCAAGATTCCTCTCATTTACATCCAAGTTTGAAGCTCCTTGGGTAAAACAGTAAGATCATTTGTCCTTGGGACATGGTATTGGCCCTCGTACATCTTTTCAACCCCGCCCGAGTTCTCTTTTTCCTCCTCCTGCGGTGAATTGGAGACTGGAGCCTTGGGAAAATTGTTTATTAAAAGGTCCCTGCCCATGAATATTTAACTTTTTAATAAATTATAACATTAACTTGGGCGTGTGTACAGAAGGCTTTCTACTAGCGTACAGCAAACTTAGCCTGCTATTTTTATTGATTGCCTTACATAATGATTAAATCATGGGGCGATATTAAGAATAAGTTGTTTTTTTTATTAGCCCGCTTTCCATTTTTTTTAACAAAGGGCCGGGCATCACGGTAGAGCCAGTTGCATGTTGAAGCAGAAACAGATTTAATCTTGACATCTCTAGGGACAGGGCTAAAATAGTTTTGTTCCACGGGGGTGGGGTGGGGGGGGCATGATATTTTGCAACTTAGATTCCCTGTTTCATTTTTTTTTTTTTAAGGGCACTGTCAGTCTACTCATCTCCTTTTCAATCCTTGTTTTTCAGACATCAATGACTGTGAGAGCAACCCATGTAAAAATGGCGGCACCTGCATTGACGGCATCAACTCCTACAAGTGCATTTGTAGCGACGGCTGGGAAGGCACCTTCTGTGAAGCCAGTAAGCGGCTCCTCCTTTTCCAACAGACGGGAAGACGGGAGGAGAAATCTCTTGAAAACACCGCCGGGTTCATTTATCAAGCAGCCCATCTAGATTTCAAGAGAATTGGGGAATCTCCATGTGAATCAGAAGGAAATAGTTTTCTGAGTTTTGTAGGCTATACAACATTAGAAGTTGCAAGTATGTGTTCTCCCCTTGGTTGTAGGAAGAGTAAGTGAGCGTTATATCCTGCCCACTCGTATCCTCTTTCGTCTTCATTTGGGCATGGGGCTAGGCAAAGAGGAATTCATTCTCTTTTCACAAAGCCAAGTAGTTGCTCTTTCTGACCTCACATCTGAGCCCATCCTACAAGCCCTTTTGTGTCGATGCTTTATTTTTACCTGCTTGTTTGTCTTGCTGTTGAGATACTCAGGATGGTTGTCTTATGTTCACCTCTCTCTAAATTGCTGAGAGCGCTTATTTATTTATTGGTTTTATTTACTGCAGCTTTTATGCAGCTCACAGCAGCTTACCGAGGATAAATAAAAGAAGAGCTATCATAAAGCATTAACAGAAACGAAACAATAATGCCCCAAGCATCGGCTTCAGCATCCAAATCTATAGCATATATAGATTTGGAACAATGCTCCAGAGAGCCAAGAAGTCTGGGAAATGTAGTTTTCCCAAAGCATTTGAGAGGGTTTGTTTGTTTTTTTGCAACGAAATCTAGTTATAAGTTCCAAGCCGTTGCACCACTGGAAGGGTAACTTTTTGCATTTCATTTCTCTTCTCACTATGTGCTCACATAAGACATAAATGTTCTTAAGCAAAAAGGATACCCTGTACAGGAGAAGCTTTCTTATAGCTGTCCTTTTGCTCCATCTAGTTATCTGTGTGCCTGAAGTGCTCTGTCTAAACTTGCTATATGGTTAAGGGAATGTTGGCTTCCCGTGATCTGAGTTTAGTATACAGTTGGTGTAGCTAAAGTACTGGAATGTTTTCCATTACAAGGCAAATAGAGGTAGTCCTTGACTTAGGATCACAATTGAGCCCAACATTTCTGCTGTTAAGTGAGACTGTTGTTAAGGGAGTTTTGCCCCATTTTACAACTTTTCTTGGCACAGTTGTTAAGTGAATCACTGCAGTTGGTAAGTCAAGTAACACAGTTAATTAAATCTAGCTTTCCCATTGCTTGGCAAAAGGTTGCAAAAGCTGTTCACACAACCCCAGGACACTGCAACCGTCATAAGTATGAACCAGTTGCCAAGCATATAGAACAGTGGTGGCTAACCTTTTCGGGCTCTTGTGTCAAAAATTGCTCGCGTGCCAGCACCCAGAATGCAATGCGTGCACCCCTTCCCCACGCTCCCTGCATATGTGTGCACAATCCCCTCCCCCCTTACCTGCACTGGGCCTCACAGCTGATTTTTCGGCTGGTTTGAGGCCTTTTTCGGCCTCCCAGAGGCTTGAAAAAACCCTATGCAAGGCTTGTCAGGACAAATTATAGGCCCGTTTCATCACTTCCGATATTATGGGAAGTGACGAAACGGGCCTGTAATTCGGCCTGAAAAGCCTTGCATAGGGTTTTTCCAAGCCTCTGGGAGGCCGAAAAAGGCCTCAAACCAGCCGGAAAAAATCAGCTGTGAGGCGCACAGAAGTGCCGTGAGGTAACTTGACCTGCGGCTCACGTGCCAGCACTGATGGCTCTGCTGGCCATTTGTGGCACGCGTGCCATAGGTTCGCCATCACAGATATAGAGTTTTTGATCATGTGATCATGGGGCTGCTACAAAGATCATAAGTGTTAGAAATGGTCGTAAGTCACTTTTTTTCAATGTCCCTGTGACTCTGAACGGTCACTAAATGAACTGTTGTAAGTCAAGGACTACCTGTACACTAGGAGCTGAGTAAATGGTTGATGTATTTTGCAGAGTTAAACTCTAGGTATTTTCTTGTCATCCAGCAGACTTAAGTTTTATGAAGCTTATACCCGAAAAGAATCTTTTTACCTTTTGAATGCCATATTACTGTTGTCCTCAGTTTTAATTTTTGTGACAATAATACTAACCTCAAGGGGAGCTTGCCACATACCTGCAATGTTTCAAAGACACACGGGGCCATTTTGGCCTGGAAAGGGTGTAATTACAAGGTCTTGTTTTTCATTCCAAGGGACTTGCCATTTTCTCAATAGTGAGAAAACCCAAAAGGGAACACAGGGACGGCATGTAGAATAGAGGGTATAGGCATAAAAAAAAAATTGCACCATTTAATCCAGGAACTACAGGCTAGAAGGAAGAACGTGAATATGCAGAGGAAGCGCATTCTATAAATATTTTTAGCTACCACACTAGCCGACATTCTCCTCTTATTATCTCCAGATATCAATGATTGCAATAAAAGCCCTTGCCACAATGGAGGGACGTGCCGAGACTTGGTCAATGACTTTTTCTGTGAATGCAAAAATGGCTGGAAAGGAAAAACTTGCCACTCACGTGAGTGTTTTTTAATACCTTTGAGAGACTTATACTGGTGGTATTCAGAATGTCATATTTTGTGCCTGAACTCAACTGAATTTACTCAGTGAGGTGATTGTCTTCCGAGTAGAAGGTGGGTTTCTGTTCCTCTGCCCTTGAAGTGTTCAAAGGATCCTGTGTCCCAAAGATGCTTTTTTTTTTTTTTTCTCAATAGGCAACTGGGCTTCCTTTGTTTTCTGCTTGAAGATCTTCGGAAGCTTCTTGGATGAGAAGCAAAACGTCTTTGAGCAAAAACAAAGGAAGTCCAGTTGCCTTTTGAAAAAGCACCTCTGGGATAGCCATGACCTGGATGAGTGAGAATCTCCATAGGCAAGGTATCCTGTAGTTCCAGGCCAGTTGGTTTATGAACGCCAGCGTTGAAGTTACATAATGCCAATCTCTGCCTTGCGTAAGTTCAGGACACATTTCTTTTCACAAAACTGCATCATTCTGAATATAGGGATCAATGGGGAAATATTCTCAGCCACAACCTGATGGTGCCCTTTTCTCTACACTTTTCCTATATGTTAGAAAATTCCAGCAACATTAAGGGACCAGGGCTTATATTCGGGGGGAGGCAAGAAGAGGGAGGGACAAGGTTAAGCTCACATAAACTATTATGACTGAATGGGGGAGAACACATTTCAATAATGTTTTTTTATGTTTGTTTTTTTAAAAAAATGGGGTGTATCAGATTCTGATGAATTTGAAACTAAGCTGAATGCAGCTCAACCATCACCCCATATTGACCACTTGGCTTTTTTTTAAAGTTAAAAAAAAAGGAACGTAAAGTTGAACATGGTTAAAATATATATGATGTTCTTTCCAGTTGCTCTTAATGGGAATTTCTTGACCAGGACTGAATGACAAGACTTTAAAAAATTGTTTATAGATAGGATTTGGGAAGAAGATATATATAGACATACGCAATATATGTGTATATGTGTTTTCAGACAAAGTAAATAAGATCTGGTGTTTAAAGTAAAAGTTGAGTTATTTGGTTAAGGTTAAAGTATAGATGTTCTTTCTGGTATATGTTAAATTTGTGAATTAGTTTATGAAACGAAAGGAAGAGAAAATGATAAGAAATTAAAGTGGGACACTATTTGAAGGGATCCAAGATCAAGTTTTTTAATACGTTGCTTCCTGTAGCTCTGGATTTTTCTTGACTAGATTGAAATGAAGAGGCTTTAAAGATTTGTTTATAGATAAGAGATGGCAAAGCGGGGCTGTATTTTTAGAGGAAATGATAAATTACTATATTAAGGAAAAGAAATATGTAACTGATTTATTTGATTGAGGTTCAAATAGCTTATCTTGTTATTTCTGGTAACTCTTAATGGGCTTTTGCTGATAAGGCCTGAATTATGAGGCTTTATAATTTGCTTATAGATAGGAGATATGAGTGGAAGAGATCTTTTATTGAAATTTTAAAGAAGGTGATAAGTTACGGAAATTGTTCTTAGGTGTCTGGATAAAAGGAGAAATCATTTCTTTATCTTTCTTCTTTTCCTCTTTACGTATTTTTTTTCTTTTTCTCTGCTATTTTTCCTATAAGGTCCTTTTCATATTTATTTTTCCTTAGTTCACGTTAGTTCTTTATCTTTGTATTTTTAAATTTTAGTAAACATTGAAGGGCAAAAAATGACACTTTGGCTTTTCCCCCCATCGGGTAGGTGACAGTCAGTGTGACGAAGCCACATGCAACAACGGAGGGACTTGTTATGATGAGGGCGACGTCTTCAAGTGCATGTGTCCTGCAGGATGGGATGGAGCCACTTGCAATATAGGTACGAATGAGCCTGTGGGTCCTCGCCTTTCCTTCCCCCGAGGCGCGTGCCGAAGAAACCGGCAGCAAAGCGTTTTATGTTTCTTGTTTACAGCACGGAACAGCAGCTGCCTGCCAAACCCTTGCCATAATGGGGGAACCTGTGTTGTAAGCGGAGAGTCTTTCACGTGTGTCTGCAAAGAAGGTTGGGAAGGACCTACGTGCACGCAGAGTAAGTTCTCTCTCTTCCTCACCCCACCCTTTGTTCCATGAATGCATCTATCTAGAGGGGCTTTGTTGAGCCAACAGTGCTCTGGGGAATTGGAGATTGAAAGCAGAAGTGGGAACGCTGTTGCATGGGGGACCTGAACCTGACCTCTTTCCCTTGGCTATAATGATGGTGTAGGATGAAGCTTTGACCTGGGCCTGAGAAAAGTGGCCAGCAAGCTAAGTGGAGGCAGATGTGGACTTGCTCCTCCACATGGCCTTGCCTCCCTCTTCCCTCGCAGCCACCATTCAAAGCTGTTCCTTTGGAGACTCTTTACAGTAATCCTCCTCTTGGATCCCTATCAAGTTCTGGGTTGCACAAGAGGCTCTCTATTTGAGCCCGGATACAAAAGTTAGCATTCTTTAACCATTCTAAATATGTATCAGTTGAGCCCCAGAGTTCTATGATGTCCATACTGAAACCATGTCTTTCTGTGGAGGAAAAAAATATATATATCCGCTCCTGACTATTCTGAGCATTTTAGCAGGATGATTTAAAACAAAAATACCTGCGTGTATGCATTAACTCTGGGACAGCCCTGCAGCTGTTGCCACTGTTAAACAACTAAGAGACTAAAAGCCTTGCCAGTCGCCTCAAAAGCTGCAGAGAGAAGGAGAGAGAGAGAGAGAGAGATTACTCTGTGTGAGTAATAGAACTTTAAAGGAGGGCTGCTTATTAACTGCAAAAAAGCAGAATGTTGTCAGTGGTTAGTTAATTGAAAAGTAGTGAACAAGCCTTTTTTTAAAAAAATAAAAAATTCTGCGTGATCCAAATTTCCGGCTTAAAGAATGAAAACCAAGATTTAGAGGCCATCCACAAGAAAGTCCACCATCGCTCATCCGTTGCCCAAGCTTCTCTTATCATATTTTCCCCTAACTTTGCCTTTCTTTGATCTCTCTGCAGATACAAATGACTGCAGTCCACATCCTTGGTAAGTCACTTTCTTGCATCTGAATAAAGCCCAGGGGGTGGGGGTGAGGGGTGGGGGAAGATGAATGGGGGAAGAAAAAGGCCTCCACCCAAGCCATTTCCTTTTTTCCCTTGGACTGGCATCTCTGTTTATGCTGTAGATACCTTTACTCGGAACAGAGTTCCCCAACCTTTCCAACTTTGCGGACCAGCAGAAAGGGGGCAGGGAGGAAGGGTCCGTGCATGTGTCAGTGGTGGGCACACATGCCCACCACTCACACAAGTGGGGATATGCATGCGCTAACCTGCACGCTACTTCTGCGCCCCAGTTCCGAAGGGCTCACAGTTCGGTAGTGAGTTAGGCTCGGGGCTTGGGGACTCATGAGGTAGAAGGCTCCATTTTTTTAGTCAGGTGTTGTATATTTGGATGAGTATTGCCCCTCCTTCCTCCAAAGCCTTTGAATTTCTCTGAAAATGTCCCGTCAAATTCTTCAAGACTTCCTTCATCTTTGCTGGATTCATCATTGTTCTATTAAATAACAAGCTGATTACTCGGCACACACACTATATATAGTTTAACTATGTCTTCTTGTACCCTTTGACTATTATTAAATGTTGTACCTTATGATTCTTGACTCTTGACAAATGCATCTTTTCTTTTATGTACACTGAGAGCATTTGTGACAAATTCCTTGTTTCACACTTGGCCAATAAAGAATTCAATTCAATTCCCTTCCCTTCCCTTCCCTTCTCTTCTCTTCTCTCCTACCCTACCCTACCCTACTCTATCGTATCCTATCCTATTCTTGTTAAGCCAGCGCAATTTGTAGTAGAATACAACTCATTTATGTAGTTCATATATAGAATGGATTATAATGGGCAAGCTGACCTTCCAGGTGGCATTGCCCTTTAAATCCCAGCAGCCACAGATAACTGAGTCAATGTTAAAAGAATTCTAAGGATTGTAATTCAAGGCAGCAGGGTTACCTGTTTTAGGAAGCTATTCCATTTTGAATGTCACCCTGCACTTTGTGGATGTAAAAAACCGAAAGATTTTGCCTTATCTTATTTTTTTTCCTCCCCGCCCCCCCGCTCTTCTCTCTCCCTTCCTTCCCCTTCATTCCTCCCAAACAGCTACAATAATGGAATCTGTGTGGATGGAGAAAATTGGTACCGCTGTGAATGTGCTCCAGGTTTTGCAGGTCCTGACTGCCGGATAAGTAAGTTTTTAGAATGGTTTGATTCAAAAACCTTGCTTTTTTTACAGCTTTGCACATTGGCTCACTTGAATAGTGGTTGCCATGGGATTGGTCTTCAATTCACTGTCTTTTCTGTGGCGGCCCTGCCCTATGGGAACACTTCAGCCCCCCTGAAGTCTGGCTCACTTCCACTCTTTCAGTCTTCCATAAGGCTTTAAGGACCTGGCTAATCTCCCAAGCATTGGGAGATTAGATGATTGCGCATTAGAACCAATTGGCACCAGTTTTTGTTGTTTTTAATGCTTTAATTGGTCGAGTTTTCTAGTTCTTAAAATACTTTATGTGACTCTTAATTTTTGATTGGAAGCCCCCCCCCCCCCGAGTTAGTTGAAAGATGGGACATTTATATAAATGTTTAAAATAAATAAATAATCGTACCTTTTCCCTTCTGAATTGAGCCCACAAGAGTCATATTCCTCCTTCCAAGGAAAAGGCATTTCAAGAGGGGCTGCAAGGAGGGGTAAACAGTTCTCTCTCCTCTGCCCTTTCATTCTGAGAACAGACTTTCGTATGGCCAAGGAACTGCTCAGAAGGAAATGTTCTCTAATTAGAGACCATTTTGCTTTGGGCTCAGACCTTCAAATAGCGAATATGGTTCCCTGTCAATAGAAACTTACCAATAAAAGCAAAGCGGTACTTCCTCAGAGACAGAAATCCAGTCAGGTGTACAGAAGACAAAATGTAATTGAGGTTGTTGTTATCAGAGGAGTCGAGACTTCGAAGCGGGCATGGTTAGCCAAAATCTAAGATCATTATTAGGGACGCAGTGGCTCAGTGGCTAAGACGCTGAGCTTGTCAATCAGAAAGGTCGGCAGTTCGGCGGTTCGAATCCCTAGCACCACATAATGGAGTGAGCTCCCGTTTCTTGTCCCAGCCTCTGCCAACCTAGCAGTTCGAAAGCATATCAAAATGCAAGTAGAAAAATAGGGACCACTTTGGTGGGAAGGTAACAGCGTTCCGTGCGCCTTCGGTGTTTAGTCATGCTGGCCACATGGCCACGGAGACGTCTTTGGACAGTACTGGCTCTTTGGCTTTGTAATGGAGATGAGCACCACCGCCTAGAGCTGTAAACTAGCTTGTAGGTGCGAGGGGAACCTTTATCTTTACCTTAAGATCATTATAAAAGCCCAATATAAGATTCCTGCATTATGGAACTTCTGAAATAAGTATTTGGCATTCCTTTTAATTATTATTGCTACTGCTGCTGCTGGTGTGTGTGTGTGTGTGTGTGTGTATGTATAAAAATAATAAATGTAATACAGGGGATTGTCAGTTTATGACCATTATTTTTATCACCGTTCAAAGTCACAGTGGCCACAAAATGGATGCTTTGCAGCCCATAAAGCAGGCCCTGGCCATAGTAAATGGTCATGTGCCTCTGCCACTCAGTCACATGACCACATGTTGGGTGGGGTCAGCTTTACAATTGGTTCCAGTATTTTGTGGTCAGGTGACTCAGATTTGAAATTATTTATTTTATTTATTAAATTTTTCTGCCATCCATCTCATTGGTACAGAACACAAGAGCCCATTCCAATGAATGGATTTGCTTAAAGACCATTGTGTTAAAAACCGTGGTGTTTGCTTAAAAACCACGGTGAAAAAGGCCATAAAATGACTTCTGATCACATTGTATGCCTCAGCTTACAACCGCAACAAATTACGACCATAATTCCGGGCTCAGTTATGGTTGTAAGTCAAGGACTGCCTGTAATAAACCTTTCATAATAAAAACGATCAAGTTTTAGAGGCTAATTAAGAGTCTCGATAGCTCGGCTAAAGTGTGTAAACCAATGAATTGCAGAGATTCCTCATCTTCCTCCATTTCCCTCCAGATATCAATGAATGTCAGTCTTCACCTTGTGCTTTTGGAGCTACATGCATAGATGAAATCAATGGATATCGCTGTATTTGTCCACCCGGCCGTGGAGGTCCCAGATGCCAAGAAGGTATGCCAGGTCTGATTTAAATTGCATAATTCTACTTAGCTGCAGCAAAATGCAGCTGAATTAGGAGCTGACGTGCCACTTGTGTTTTAAAAGCCCTCTTCCTCCTTTTGCATCAGTTATTAGGCTGAGTAATAAAAAAATTAGGCTGCCATCAGTTATAAGTCTAAGTACTTAGACTTATATACTGCTTCCTAGTGCTTTATAGCCCTCTGTAAGTGGTTTACAGAATCAGTATATTGCCTCCAACAATCTGAGTTGACATCCTCATTTTACCAACCTCAGAAGGATGGAAGGCTGAGTCTTATCTTGAGCTGGTCAGGATCAAACTGCTGGCTGCGGGTAGAGTTTGCCTGCAATACTGCATTCTAACCACTGCACCACTCATAGGCAAGTATATTTCATTTAGCAGGGAGCAAAGTTGGGTAGATGATTTTCTTGTCTTCCCTTCCACCCTCTTCCTGTGTACTTCATCCAAAGTCTCATTCTGAGGCGGGGGTTGTTCTGATCTAGGCTTCCCAAAAGCACAAAGCTGACTCTTTGTCCCGATAAAACCCCTTTTATTTAGTTTAAAATGAATTCCTCTCCAGCAAAGTCCCGGCCAACATGTGATTTCACAATTACAGACCTTTATCAGGCTTGGAGAGCTGCCAGGCCGATATCTTCCAAAAGCCACTCTGTAGTAGACAATACTTGGCAAGAAGTCAGGAACAGATCTTCACCGTAATGAATTGAACTCATTGTCTCCTGCAAGCACTGCTCCTCTTTCGTTCCTCTTTATTCCCTATGGGAGGGGCCATTCACCATCCACCTGAGCCTTTACTCCCGAGTCGACCCTTGTTCCTTAACAGTTCCCTTCTCCTGGCAGCTCTGTGCATGCGCACACTGGGAACAGGCTCCAGCTGTTCTTCTGCCCCACTGAGGTCCGACTCCGAAGGCAGCTGATAACTGTCAGGCGGTCCTGGCTCCATCTCTGCCTCTGATGCAGAGCCCTCTTCAGAGCCTTTCCCCAGGACTGGCCCATGCACCTCCCCAACCTCCTCACTGTCCGAGTCTGCTGCCGGCTCTGCTGGCTGCTGGTGGGCCATAATACGGGTCTCAAAGATGAATCCCTTAAATGCCTTTTCTCTTTTTTTTTAATCTTAGTTTCAGGAAGACCCTGCATTGCCAGTGGGCATATTATTCCAGATGGTTCAAAGTGGGATGACGAATGCAACAGCTGTCAGTGTGCGAATGGAAAAATCTCTTGTTCTAAGGTACCATCCTATAGATCTCTGAACCAACATGTTCCTTTGCTACACACACACACAGTTTCAGAGGGCCACTTAACAATTAACTGTTCGATTATCTCTAGGTGTGGTGCGGCCCAAAGCCTTGTGTGATAAACACCAAGGGCCAGAGTGAATGTCCCACGGGCCACACCTGTCATCCAGTTAAAGCTGACCACTGCTTTGTCCCACCCTGTGACAATGTGGGCGAATGCTGGCCATCAAATCAACAGCCAGTGAAAATGACCTGCAGTTCTGATTCTTACTATCAAGAACATTGCGCTAACATTACCTTCACCTTCAACAAAGAGATGATGACTCCGGTAAGTTAATCCATTCCAGGGAAAAAGGACCCAAGAAACTCCTACCAACAGTCTGTTTTGCTGCTACAGCCCTGGTCTCTCCTGCGATCGGAGAGAACCATTATTATTATTATTTTTTAAAAAAACATTCCTTCTGCACACAGAGCTTCAGGTTTCTCCCTAGCGGCCCTGAGTGTCCTCCATGGGGCTTTCTCATCATATCTTTACATCAGGTCTTAGACAAAATCTAGGCAGACATGACTCCTGCAGGGCTGAACAAGAAGCTGCGGTCAACAGTGACTTTAATTTGGTTTCCTTATTGCCAAAGTCAGCAAAGTGCCTCAAAGTCATTTCACGTATTACTTTTTCGGGGGGTGGGGGAACCCTCTAGGTTTTGGGTTTTTTTTTGCAAATGCAATAGCAAATGCACTCCTTGTGCAAGTCTTCCTCATTGGGAAGCTACAATAAGCGTCTCTCTGAATTGAGTTGACTTTTGCAAGCTCAGGTTGATTATTTTATAATGATCCTCTTTGCTAAGTAGCAAATACAGGATATACAGCTCCAGTTAAAACATGGAGACAAGGAGTCTTGTGCAACCGTAGTCGGATAAAATGAATGATTCATCCATCTTCTGCTGTCCAGGTTCTCATGCTTTCTTGCCTATGCTGTTTCCTCTCCTCCCCCCCAAAAAATAGGGTCTGACAACTGAGCATATCTGCAGCGAACTGCGGAATCTGAATATCTTGAGGAATATCTCCATTGAACACGCGCTCTACATCACCTGTGAGCCATCGCATTTGGCAAGCAATGAAATTCACGTGGCAATTGTAAGTCTATCCCTTGATTGGGCCTGGGTGCTTTAGTCTGGCTTTTGAAATGTCTGGAGGAGATTGTCCCCCAGCCCCTCTCTGGAGGGGAGAGAAAAGGACGAAGGAGGGTGCTTCCTCTCGCTGTTTTCCACTGGGTTGGATGGTATTCATTCCAACGGGGGGGAAAAAATCCGGCGCTCTGGCTTTTGTTTTTTTTCCTTCTTTCATGTTGTTTTCTTGGATCAGTTTATTTACGCAGGAGTGGGGTTGCGTTAGCCACCTTGGAAGCTTGATAATGGGGTGTTGTAATCTGAGTTAATAACAGAAACACGGTGGGCATTGTAAATTCGGCAATGCATTTGGATGTGTTGAAGGGTTTTGAAAAGTAGGCGGGTGACTTTAATTGCATGTAATTAATAAGCCTTTTTTTCCCACTGAATTAGCGGAATCCGTGCCTGTACTGAATTGATTCAAACGAAAGCTGATTTTTTTAAACTCTGCCTTCCCTAAAACACAGCTGTATTGTTCTCCCTTCAGTCTGCTGAAGATATCCATGAGGAAAATAATCCGGTAAAGGAAATAACTGATAAAATTATCGATCTGGTCAGCAAACGTGATGGGAATAGCACGCTTATTGCAGCTGTTGCAGAAGTCCGAGTCCAGAGGCGGCCAATTAAGAGCAAAACAGGTAAACCATTTCAAGAGATGGATGGATTTTTTTTTCTCCCTCTTTAGTTTTCTCCTTAAACTAAGAAAACAAACCAGTCTCTCTTAAATCTGCTTTAGAAGAGGTGCCTTTGCTGTTTGTGAGATAAAAGTGTTTCCAAATATAATAGTTGTTCTAATACACGGCTTTAAATTATTTCATTCAGTTTGTACCCAGAGGCGTCTTTAGGTGTGGAGGTCAGAAAAGGCAAGCTGCCAGCCACACAACCAGTGCTCCACTCCCTTTTACATCCATTGGTGAGGCTTTGATTGTAGGAGATGACTAGGCTGAGCCTGAGGGTGGGGTCAAACGTGTCATCAGTCATGAGTCCCTGCATGCCCACAAAAGATCCGTCCAGCCCGCCTTGAATTCCTTTCTTACCTCCCGCTAATTTCCCTTGACTGCTAGTTGGTCAGATTCTTGTAAAGAGCTTAAGCTTGCTTTATACTCATTTGAACTGCCTGAATCTCCCAATTTCCCTGCCTCTTGATATTCATTGCACAATAACAGTTGAACTTTTAAAATGTTGCTTTATTCCCCTTGTGAATGCCCCTGTTTCTAACTCACAGGAGAGGAATCCCCTGTGGCTTGATCCAATAAAAATTGTTCTTAGGTAGAACTCAAAGTTGAACTGACCTTATGAGGACCATAGATATAAAATCCTCTTGTGCTCAGATACTGACACTTACTAAACATTGTCCTGTTCTTCAGTAAATGGCCTATTATTGAATGAGTAAGATACTGGACTTGAATGGTGGAAGGGGGAATTGAATAATAGTATTAAATTTGTATGCAAAGTGAAGCAATGAAGTGACGGTTCCCCCTTTCCCTGAAAGCCTGAGTGAAGAGCCAAGTCTTCATGGCTCTTCTAAATGACAGCAATGTGGAGGCCATCTAGATCTTGGTGGGCAGGGACCTAGTTCTAGAGGACAGATGCTCCAAGATCCTAAATGAAGACATTGTTTAATCAAAGGAACCTCGAGCCTGTCAACACTACAGGATCAAGTTAGCCAGGTAGATTTTGTGGGTGATACAGTAAGGAACCAGACCCGATAGCATGTATGAATGACCTCAACCTATTGCCTCACTAGCATTACAAGAGGGAATTAGGCTATGTCGATAACCCTTAAGTAGGAAGATCAATATCCGATAGCAAGGATTTCATGCAGGCTTAGTAATACTTAAGTCACGCCTTTATAAATCTGTGAGACAGGCTAGACATAATTAGTCTGGATTCCATTGATTTTGGTAGCTTTTCTCTAAGTGAAGCAGTCTGGACCCAAATGCTGTGAGCCAATTCTAGTTCCTGTAGGTCAACGCTCCCCCATGGCACAATCCTGACTCTTAACATAAGAAAAAGGAAGCTTTCCTTGATCCCAGCGTTAGTGTTTATAAAACTTGTGTAACATCCTAGTCTGCATCTTTTACAAATACTTTTTAAAGTTAAAAAAGTTAAGGGCTTTATTAGCACGGGAATACTTTTTCCACCATGATGTTTCCCCCACTCCCCCGCCAGTATGTTGGAAGTCAATCATCCAATTCCCCAGGCACCAGGATCAAACTCGACATTATGAAGTACCAGGTTGAGGTAGGTTGGTATGAGGTCTGTTGTTCAAGGAAGGAGCCCCCCCCCTACACTCATTGAAGCACTAACGGTAAACCCTAATTGCTTTCCAGGTTTCTTGGTTCCGTTACTGAGCTCCATTTTAACTGTGGCTTGGATCTGTTGCCTGGTCACCGCCTTCTACTGGTGCATCAGGAAGCGGCGAAAGCAGAGCACTCATACACATACCGCCTCGGAAGACAACACCACCAACAACGTGCGGGAGCAATTGAACCAAATCAAGAACCCCATAGAGAAGCACGGGGCCAACGCTGTGCCGATCAAAGACTATGAGAACAAGAACTCCAAAATTGCCAAAATAAGGACACACAACTCAGAGGTGGAGGAGGACGACATGGACAAGCACCAGCAGAAAACCCGATTTGCCAAGCAGGCAACCTACACGCTAGTAGACAGAGATGAAAAGCCGCCCAACGGCACGCCTACAAAACACCCCAATTGGACAAACAAACAAGACAACCGGGACTTGGAAAGCGCACAGAGTCTAAACCGAATGGAATATATCGTATAGCAGACAGCAGGTGCTGCCGTGCAGGGCCTTTACCTATCAATCTAAGGCAACTCGGAGCTTGTAGTTCTTAAAACGGTTGTGTAATATTTTGAGTCTAAGGCTATTATTTGCTTAATATCCCTGTGTTAATTTAAAGTTTTGACAAGCTGGCTTACACTGGCAGTGATAGTTGCTGTGGTTGGCTGGATTACCAAGTGCTGCATTTCACATCTATGCAAAACTAGTCAAAAAGTGCCCCCTCTGTCAATTCAGCAACAGCCGACGCATCCCAGAAAGATTTCATAAGGAATCGCTAGGATTTTATTTTGCTTATTTTTTTTTTTTTCTTCCCTCGAGCAGGAAAGAAATATATACACATTGGTGGGTCTGAGGTTTTTTTTTCCTCCTTACTTCTCTCTTGAGACGTCGCAATCTGTAGTCTTAGAACAAAAAAAATACGTTTTTATTTATTTATTGAATTAGAGTTCTTCTGTATATTGGGTTTTATGGTGACATGCAACTAGTTCTGTATTTGAAAGTGCCTTTGCAGCTCAGAACCACAGCAACTATCAAAGAAAAGTTTATTATTTATTTTTTTATTGTAACGTTTTTGTTGTTGTTGCTTTGTTTAGGGTAAGAGAGGGACCAGGAAGATTCATGTCAGCAGTTGCTGGTAAAAATAATAATAATGAAGAATTGAGAGGAAAATGTGTCAAAAGTAGAAGTTTGTATAGTTATGTAAATAATTCTTTTTTTATTAATCACTGTGTATATTTGATTTATTAACTTAATAATCAAGAGCCTTAAATATCATTCCTTTTTTTATTTATATGTATGTGTTTAGAGCTGAAGGTTTTTCATAGCATTGTATGCTTATGGCTTCTTTACTTTTTTACCTTTTTTTTTTCGTTGTTACCTGTTGCCTACATGCCAAAATTTAAATGTTCCGAATTTTGTTTTGTCTTATTTTTAATTTTTAACAATAGGAAGGGCTTTCTAACCTTCGATGCTGACTTTTTTGTATGATGTCACATGTGTCTCTCTTATTCCTTTGGAAACATCTTCCATAGTATCACATTCATATTTTTTTGTAAAATACCAGCCAAGGCAGTTAGATCTAGGTTTTATTTCTCTCTCTCTCTCTCTCTCTCTCTTTTTTTCTGGCTGCTTTAAAGATGGGGTGGGACGGAAGGAAAGGATGACAGGCAGATCACCTGCTTCAGAGCAGCTTAAGGGAACACAAAGGAGCTATAACTTCTGTAGATGAAACGTGAGAGTTTGTGAGTGGTTGCATGTTATTAAAAAAAAAAAAATACTGAATTAGTGTGTGAAGTTGGAAGCACCAAAATCTTACTTTGTAAACTCTTGATTTCCCCCACCACCACCAAAAATAGTATAAAACTGAACCACCTATAGATTTTATTTTTGTTTGTAATCTACTGTATGTAGAAAGTATTCTAATAAGCTAGTCGTTGAATACTTGAACAGTAGAATGTCCAGTAAGATCACTGTGTAAAGTTGCATAGGTTCCACTGCCCGCCTTAAACAAGGAAATCAAAGTGCTATTACAAAAGTTGGATGATCAAATAATAATTTTTAAAAAAGGATTCAAACATTGACCACTTGGATCACAGAGATAACTTGTATGATAATATTAGTGTTAACATGGAACATGAAAATACATCTCTCGATGTGTTATTCCTGGCAATAAATCTTGAAAAATATTTATTAAATTTTGTTTTGCATAAAACTGTGAAAAATGAGCTTCATTGAGCTGCTGACTTCAGTGTCTGGCAAAGATATTTTTCATAGCATTAGTATCAACAAGATCCTTTCCCAACTCAATGCCATCTATGTGTTGGAATACAACTCAAAAATTGGCCAGGTTGATGCTACCTTCAGAGTAGAACCTTGTAGTCCATTTAAAAGGGTATCGACCCATCAGTAAACCATGATGGCATTTGGGTCTCCACAGATACACAATCCAACTATGTCTTCACTACGTACATGTAATTGCACTAGATCCCGGCTTCCTTTGTTGGAAGAAACGGGACTCAATTGGTCATGTGCCCCCATTGCCACTGTTGTGGGAATGGGGTCATTTCACTACAGTCCTATCTGGAAATTGTAATTTAGTGTAATTGGGGGTTCAACCAATTAGGAAGGATTGTCCTTCAATCTCACAGAGCTGAACAATAAAGTGTAAAGCTGCACAATGGTGTTCTCTTTGTTCATGAGTTTTATGAGGGTGCAACTCACACGTGAGATTTGGCTGGGTTCAGACAGCATATGAAGCCATAATATGGTGTGTTTGCTTTTGCGTGTTATGTGAACCTAGCAAATTATCATTTATTAAATCATGATTAAGCAAATTATAACTTAATGTGATTTGTGAATCCAGTCAAGTGTTTCCAATAAGTGGATTTATGCGGTCTGCCTTATACCAGGTTTCAGCAATTGTGTGTGTTAATCTGGTTGATTATGGAATAGTTCAACTCAAGCCAGCGGGACTAACACCCCTGAGGGCATATTAAATGTGTTTTTTCTCAACATGAACTTTCCAAGTTTCTTCTGTATGTTCCCTGACTGCTACCACCAGTCTTGGACTGAAGACCCAAGATCTGCAGAGCGGTCATATTTTCCTAATATTTGACCCTACTCCTTTCCACATGATGATTTGGAGATTTCTTTCATCATGGAGCTCATGGTGGGACAGACAGGATATTTGAACTGCGACTGGGACCTATTTGGCTTCATGAGTCTTGACACATTCCCATTGAACGATTCAATAAGAGAGTTATTTGCGTTGCTTTTACCAATGCTTTTTGTGAGTTTGCCCTGGGATTGCAACTCCAGCCTTTGTGGAATTGGGACTCCCATTTTTATCTTCCAGGACACCAGGGCAAGAAAGGGGCTGGCAGGGGAGAAACTAATAAAACACTCTTTTTAAGATGCTGGTTTCTATTGGACTACAAAGAGAAGATGGCTGGTTTCCCTGCCAGATCTATCAAACAAGACCAGCTGTGGTTACTAAAAGCTGATGTGGTTCTAAACAACTAAAAAGGTTGTTCAACCTCCAACAAAGTTAAGCCATGTTGGAAAAAAAAAACGCCCGAAGCCAAGAGGGCTGTTTGTGAGATTAACAAGAAGCCTGCCCTGTGTTGCAAAACGACTTAGGCAAGAGCAATTTTAATTTCCCCATGAGCAAACACTTTGAACTTCCTGAATATTGCTTGCTGCTATCTACCTAAATCAACCACCATTATCTTTACTTCTTAGCGTTACGGGATTAGGTTTTCGATAAAAATCAGTCAAGAGATCAGTCTTCTCCAACCTGGCACTTCCCGTTTATGCTGGGGTTACAACTCCCAGGATTCCCAGTTAACACACCTGAAGAGTACCAGCTAGTGAAAAGCTAAGAGGTTAATGGTGAAAATCTCTATGAAATCTTTTTTTTCGGTGAATATTGAAGCAATGGCTTTTGATCCCGCCAGGTCCATTCCAACCTATTTCACAAACGCAAAGTGGATTAGCTCGGTGAATGAGGTATACCTGTGGAAGGGGGTCTTCTACAAGGTGGGACAGGTCTACTAGTAGTAGCTTATCTACACTGGAGGTTTTGTGCCTTTGCATGATAGGACGTCTCTTTCTCCCCTGCCACTTCAAATGGATTCCCTGAGCCAAAACAGGAATGCTACAGGCCCCGGGCATGTTCTTTTCTCCATCAAAATAGGCATTGATGCTACGGAGGAGAAAGTGCCCTGACCATTTGGCGGACTTTTCCCAATCCATTGTCTTCTAGCCGTGCTGGGACTATATGAATTAGAATTCTTGAAGCAGAAGTTCCTGCACTTTGGAGGAGGAGGAGGAGCACATGCGGGGTCTGTGTGTGTGTGTGTGTGTGTGTGAATTTAACCTTTGGAAAGATACTGGAGACAGGATGATGGATCTCCTCTGTTGTTTATAATTTGGGGCACAAAACTTCCAGATCACTGCAATTAATCATCATGAAGATCCACTAAGAATGGGAAATTTTTCAACCACCCTGAGCCTTTGGCCGGGGGGGGGGGGGGGGTGGGTAAAAAATCCTTGGGTTAGAATCCTCCAGCAACTTTTTGCACTATATGTCTTTCTGATAAAACTTTGTGGGTTTTTTTTTAACCATGAGCTGCGATCTTTTAAAATACGGGCTCGTTGTGCAAAACAATCTGGTGATGGTGTCTTACCAAGGGACCAGGGAAGTCCTCAGTGGAGAAACGTTTGTGGACAAGGAAAGAAGAGCACGTTCTCCTTACCTGGAGATGACGCTGTGTCTCATTGATAGGATTTCCTAGTGGGGGTGGACACTCTTGCATTCTGAGTGCAAGGAAATAAGGAAGATGCAGCAGTTAAGATCAGAAACAGCAGCTTAGGTTTATATGCATCACATTTCGTTAGAATAGGTCCCTGTCGTAATACAACTCAACTGGATTGCTACTACCATCTCTCTCTTAGTTGCTGCTCCGGCTTCATGATGTTAAAGCAATGTGTCAGAGTCAAAAAAAAAGAACCATTTTTATTGCAGTTTTCTTTCGCTTTGCCCCAAGGACAGCAAGCTTCATGATGCATTAAGGATACTGATGTGTATCTTTCCTTGCTAAAAAAAAATTTTTTTCCTTGCTAAATCTGGTTCAAAGCCCTGGAATGAAATCACATGTTTAATTTCTTGAGAGGGAAATTCATTTCTCTTCTGCATTCCGTTGCATTTTTGCTTCTCTGTACAGTTTTGCAAAGATCGTTGCTTATCTTTCATCTACTATAAAGCATCCTTGGATTTTTAATTATTGGCCAAAGCCAATTTGCCACATCCAAACTTGCCATGGGACAACTCGCTATGGCTTCCTAGGAAATGGTAAAACATTGAGAGGGAATAATAGATGGATAGGTAATGGGGTCTAGGACAACTCTCTACAGCCAATTTGCCACAGTCAATTCACCATGGCCAACTCTTTGTGGGACAATTCAACAAATACAAAAGTTAAATTAATGTTGATGGAACCACGGCCAGTAATAATAAAATAAGAAAGTCAATCCAGAAATACAAGAGTTACAATAATTTCAACGAGAAAGTGGTCACCAATAATAAGCGTATCTGAATGAAACCATTAAATACAGCATTGAATTGTTCCAGGGCAAGTTGGCCTTGACGAGTTGACTGTGCCAAGTTGGCCCAGCAAGTTGTCCTAGGCCCACATCATCCATCCATCCATCTATTATTCCCTCTCATTGTTTCACCATTTCCTAGGAAACTCATTGATCCTCATGCATTATTTATTTCCACCCTATACACTTCAGATATTTTTATTACTTGTTGAATAGCCTTAGGCTTACTATAGAAGGCTAAAGGTATGGATGTGTATTCAACATTCCAGCTCCATTTAGAGCTTTGGATTCAACAAATCAAAATAACAAACAGGTTTGTAGAATGAATACAATTTGGCCCCATGCACACATGAAGCAGACTGTGGTCAAATGATCATAAAATGATTCAAATTTTGTTTTGGCTGAGCTATTCTGGGTGGGTTGGAATCTAGCCAAAACAAAATTTGGATTAGTTTCCAATATTGCTATCCTTCCCTTTCACCTTCTCTAGGTGTCTTATAGGCCATCCCACCACCCAATTTTCTGTACCTTACCTGCTACTACCCAACAGCATCTGACCCATCCATCCTGCCTCGCTCCATGTGACTGGCCTTTCTATTCCCCACTGTATTCTATCTCATAACTTCTCTGGCAGAACAAACACATTTTAGGTCCATGCGTGGAAAAAAAGCAA